TAGATTTTGATGGAGTCTTATTTATGTTTTTTTGCTGTTGCTGGGCTATTTTTGTCATATCTAAGACACCATTGCCTACTTTAGGATCCCCAAAATGTATTACTCTGTTCTAAGAGTTTTATAGTATTAGCTTTAGGTCTTTGAACCTTTTTGAGTTAATTTTTGTATGTGGTGTGAGGCAAGGGTCCAGTCCCATTCTTGTTGATACCTAGTTGTCCTGGTATCATGTTTAAGACTACTCTTTAAAAGTCTTCATTGAAGGCAGGGCGTGGTGGCTCATGCCTGTAATCCTAGCACTTTGGGAGGCTGAGGCGGGAAGATTGCTCGAGGTCAGGAGTTCAAAACCAGCCTGAGCAAGAGTGAGACCCCGTCTCTACTATAAACAGAAAGAAATTAATTGGCCAACTAATATATATAGAAAAAATTAGCCGGGCATGGTGGCATATGCCTGTAGTCCCAGCTACTCGGGAGGCTGAGGCAGGAGGATCGCTTGAACCCAGGAGATTGAGGTTGCTGTGAGCTAGGCTGACGCCACGGCACTCACTCTAGCCTGGGCAACAAAGTGAGACTCTGTCTCAAAAAACAAAGTCTTCATTGAATTGTCTTGGCATCCTTGTAGGAAATCAGCTGCCTATAGTTAGATGTATTGCTTTATTTCTGTACTGTCAAGTCTGTTCCCTTGATTTCCACGTCTGTTCTTATGCCAGTACTACACAATATTGATTACTATAGATTTGTACTAAAATTTTAAATTTGGAAGTATGAGTCTTTCAAGCTTGTTTTTTATCTTCAAGATTGTTTTTGCTTTTTGTGTTCCTTGCATTTCCATGTTAATTTTAGGATCAGCTTGTTATATTCCTCAAAAAATAAAAGCTGGCATTTTGATAGGGATTGCATTGAATCTCATAAGTCAGTTTTGGAACTGTTGCCATTTTAACAATATTAAGTTTTACAATCCATGAACAAGGAATGTCTTTCCATAAATTTAGATCTTAAAATATTTTTTCAATTATGTTATGTATTTTTCAGTGATAAGTTTTTTACCTCCTTGCTTAAATACATTCTTAATTATTTCAGTCTTTTGGATGATAGTACAAATGGAATTTTAAATATTTAATTTTCCTGTCTTACTGGTCTTATTGAGAAGAAATAATAAAAATTTCATTTTCAGTTTATTTCTAGTGTATGGAAATACAATTGATTTTTGTATGTTGATTTTATATCCTATAACCTTGCTAAATTAGAATATTAGCTCTAATGCTTTTTTTGCAGATTCCTTAGATTTTTGTATATATAGGACCATGTCATTTATGAATAGAGATAGTATTACTTCTTTTTTTTTTCCCCCCAACCGAGATGCCTTCCCTCTCTCTCTCTAGTTAGAACCTCTGGTACAATATTCAGTAGAATTGGTAAGAGTGGACATCCTTGTTTTTTCCCCTGATCTTACGAGAACAGCTTTTGGTCATTTACCCTTAAATGTATCGTAGCTGTGGGTTTTTCATAGTCGGTCTTCATCAGATTCAGAAGGTTGTCATTTATTCTGCTTTGTAGAATGTTTTTTTATTATGAAAGAGTGTTGTCAAGGCCCAGCTAATTTTTTGTCTCTATTTTGTTTTGTTTCTATATTATTAGTTGTCCGGCTAATTTTTTCTTTTTGTCTACGTTCTTTCCAGTAGAGATGGGGACTTGCGTAGCTCACAGAAACCTCAAATTCCTGGGCTCAAGCAATCCTTCTGCCTCAGCCTCCTGAGTAGCTAGGACTACAGGCATACACCACCATACCCAGCTAATTTTTTATATATATATTTTTAGTTGTCCAGCTAATTTCTTTCTGTTTTGTTTTTTTGGTAAAGACGGAGTCTCACTGTTGCTCAGACTGGTCTCAAACTCCTGAACTCAATCTCCTGACCTCAAAGGATCCTTTCGCCTTGGCCTCCCAGAGTGCTAGGATTTCAGTCGTGAGCCACCACATAGGGCCCACTTCCTGGTTGTGGCTGCAGAATATGTGTCAGGCCTTTAATGATTTTTAAAGATGGTAGTGGCAATCTTTTGCAGGAGAGTTTAATATGAAATGATACAGTACTATCAATGACAAAAGAATATGGATATTTTTAATGTAGTTAGCTTTTAGGTTAGATGTAAATACTTTGAAAACTAATTCTGGCCACATTAACTCATGCAAAAACATGGTTTTTAGAATTAATCAGGTGTGGGTTTATATCCCAGTCTTCCCAATTGTGACTTAATTAAGCTTTTTAAACTTCAGTTTCTTTATCTGTAAAATGGAGATAATGGTATTTTGTAATGTTGTGAGGATTAAGCAAGATAATGATGTGTATTAGTTTTCTCGGACTGCTGTAACAATACCACAGACTGGATGAGTTAAACAACAAAAATTTATTGTCTGTGTTCTGGAGCTTAGAAATCTGAGAACAAGTTGTTAGCCGGGTTGGTTCCTTCTAAGGACTGTGAGTATGACTCTGTCCCATGTTTCTCTCCTAGTGCCTGGCCTCAGGCATTCCTTAGCTTGTAGATGGTGTTCTCCCGTTGTCTTCACATCATCTTCCCTGTATGTGTGCCTATCTTTTTTTTTTTTTTTTTTTTGAGACAGAGTCTTGCTCTGTTGCACAGGCTAGAGTGAGTGCCGTGGTGTCAGCCTAGCTCACAGCAACCTCAAACTCTTGGCTTCAAGCAATCCTGCTGCCTCAGCCTCTCGAGTAGCCAGGACTACAGGCATGCGCCACCATGCCTGGCTAAGTTTTTCTATGTATATTTTTAGTTGGCCAATTAATTTCTTTCTATTTTTAGTAGAGGCGGGGTCTTGCTGTTGCTCAGGCTGGTCTGGAACTCCTGACCTTGAGCAATCCTCCCGCTTTGGCCTCCCAGAGTGCTAGGATTACAGGCGTGAGCCACCACACCCTGCCTTAAGTATCTTTTTAAACAGTTATTTACTTATTTGAATTATTTTCTTTGTGTTAAAATACTGGGTGTAGAGTTAATAGTTATTCATCTTGATGGTTCATGGTATAGCAGGTGTTAATTTCCCAATATTATGGCTTAGGAAACTGGGGCTGAATTAAATGACTTGTTTAAGGTGATCCAATTTGTAATGGACATAAAGACCACTTTGTCTGCTTGTGCAGTTGTAGTGACTGTCTTTACTTGATAACACGTATGTCCTTTCTCCTCTCTCTATTTAATGCACGTGTTTTATGGCTATACTTTGGATAATACAATGTAATCATTTTGTAGTAGTCATAGGGAGACAGAAACATGGCCATGTCCTAGATTGATTATGGCTGAATTTTTCATAAAGAATATGATAGTCATGAGATTTTATTGTATTGAATAATAGGATAGTGGTTAAGAGTTTGGGTTCTGCAGTTGGACTGCCTAAGGTTGAAACCTGGCTCTGCATAAAATAGGGCTAATAACATAGTATCTACCTTAAGAGGATTCAAGGAGGAGCAGTGCTTGGCACAGATCAAACATCAAGTAAATGTTACTGTATTTAAAGTCATTTAGGACTTGAATTAATAAGCAAGTTTCATATTTAGCAGTGACTGCCAACTATATTTAAATAATCAAAAATGAGATTTAACATCTATGAGTATTCTTTTAGATTTTCTATGGTTTATGACTGAAATCAGGGTCTTAAAGTTTAGTGGTAACTTACAAATTATTGAATTGAGCCCAGTCCTTTAATATCCTTCATTCAGCTGGGGCATTATTCATCATTTATTTGAATTATTTCATTGAACTTATTTCATTGAACTTCAGCATACCCTTTATTGAACACTTAATCTGTGTCAGGTGCATAGTGTTTTAGGCATTAAGGAGAGAAGATTCAGTCTGGCAGAGGAACTCACTGAGCTTTTTTCAAGTCATAGCATTTTAAATAAAATGATGTTTGTATGTTTCCTTGGATTAAGTGGAGGAAGTTCGTTCGAGTATTCTAGGGAATTCTTTTGGACACTCAGTAATATCTCAGCACACTTGCAAATCCTTTCTGGTACACCAGATGGGAATCTTAGGTGTATTAAACACAAAATCATTTTTCTGTCAAGGTGGGAGATTTATACTATTTGTGGGGTGTTAAAGGCATGGATGTGGATTTAGGACTGAGATTTTTCTTGGTGTCCAGAATTCTAGATCAGTTAGGCATATTATTTATGGAGAAAGGATGCAACAAGGGTCTATGCATGGGACAGTTCCAAGGAGCTGCATTCATACTACATTCCATATGGATGATGTCCCTGGTAGTTGCACAGTGCACTGTTCTTGATGCCGGGTGCGTATCTTGGGAGAAATCCAGGCCAGTTGCACTGATATAACTGGAGTCTAGCATATATATGTACATATCGCTTTCCGGATGTTTTCATCAGAGTCACTGTAGGTAATTAACTAGTAGAAATGTCTATGTTGTTTCGAGAAGGATTAGACTATCACCTGCAGAAGGTTCTGTAGTCTCTTGACAGTGTCAAAACTTCTATTTATAATTTTCTATTTTTTCCCCTTCCTGCTGTAATGCAAGGACTCAAGCAAACATATCTTTTCCTTGGGATTGTTATTATTTTAGTTTTTAATTTTTTAATAAAACAGTTTTATTTTATTTTCATAATATAGATAGACTAGTCATATAAAGTGATTATAAATTGAAAGATAGTACTAGATAAAAGGCTATGTTGTTTATTTCTTCGTTTGTTTATTTACAGACAGAGTCTCACTTTCTTGCCCAGGCTAGAGTGCCGTGGCATCAGCCTAGCTCACAGCAGCCTCAAACTCCTGGGCTCAAGCAATCCTTCTGCCTCAGCCTCCCAAGGCTGTTATTAACAAGGCAAAATAATTTAGTTTTGTACTTATTTTGTAATTGTTATGTTGGAGTGTTTTCATTCTGAGTTTTTAGGCATTGCTTTCTCAGAAGGCTAATAGGAAGGTGATATCCTGTTTCAAAAAATTTTATTCTTATTTATGTCTCATCTTTTGTCTACCTAAAGTGTCAACCCAAGAAAAAGTCTACGCCACTGAAGTATGAAGTTGGAGATCTCATCTGGGCAAAATTCAAGAGACGCCCATGGTGGCCCTGCAGGATTTGTTCTGATCCACTGATTAACACACACTCAAAAATGAAAGGTAATATCTCTAGTTGATTATACATGATAAAATACAGTGTGGAATTATGAACTTGCAGTTGCCTTTAGTATAACGCAATTTTTGTTGCCTTTAATAATAACCTGTTTTCTCCTATGAGCATTTTGTGAATGAATTGGTAACATATTTTATCTCTTTTGAGTTTTTAACTCTCTGATTTAGAAATTCTCAATTGATTTAACTGTAGACACCAGGAAAGTATTAGGCCATTTACCTGAAGTTTACAGTGTCCAGAAAATTACCTTTCATTATATTTCCATATTTATACTTTAATCTTTATTTGTATCATTTTTGATCATTTAAAAGCTGAAATAATTATAAATATTGCTTACAAGTTATTCTGAATTTTATAATCTTAATTTTTTTTTTTTTGAGACAGAGTCTCACTTTGTTGCCCAGGCTAGAGTGAGTGCCATGGCGTCAGCCTCGCTCACAGCAACCTCAATCTCCTGGGCTCAAGCGATCCTCCTGCCTCAGCCTCCCGAGTAGCTGGGACTACAGGCATGCGCCACCATGCCCGGCCAATTTTTTGTATATATATTTTTAGTTGGTCAATTAATTTCTTTCTATTTTTGGTAGAGACGGGGTCTCGCTCAGGCTGGTTTCGAACTCCTTACCTTGAGCAATCCGCCCGCCTCGGCCTCCCAAAGTGCTAGGATTACAGGCGTGAGCCACCGCGCCCGTAATCTTAATTTTGAGTATTTCCTTTAATTACTATAGTTTGTATCTTACTTGGTTGTTGTCGTTGAATATCAGGTAAATCTCATCTTTATATTTTTATGGTATCTTTAATTAATTAATTAATTTATTGAGACAGAGTCTCACTTTGTTGCCCAGGCTAGAGTGAGTGCCATGGCGTCAGCCTAGCTCACAGCAACCTCAAACTCCTGGCTTAAGCAATCCTCTGCCTCAGCTTCCGAGTAGCTGGGACTACAGGCATATGCCACCATGCCGGCTAATTTTACTATATATTATATAATATATTAGCTGGCCAATTAATTCTTTCTATTTATACTAGAGACGGGGTCTCGCTCTTGCTCAGGCTGGTTTCAAACTCCTGACTTTGAGCAATCCGCCCCCTTCGGCCTCCCAGAATGCTATGATTACAGGCGTGAGCCCGCCATACCCAGCCATATGGTATCTTTAAATTGCTGTAAAGGAGAGCCTGAAACATAGTTTTGATCTCTCTTTTTTTCTGTTAAGATGCATTGTGCTTCTATTGTAGTTTTAGTAAATGTATTTTAGTTTTTGGCTGGGCGTGGAGACTTGCGCCTGTAATCCTAGCACTCTGGGAGGCCGAGGAGGGCGGATTGCTCAAGGTCAGGAGTTCAAAACCAGCCTGAGCAAGAGCAAGACCCCGTCTCTACTATAAATACAAAGAAATTAATTGGCCAACGAATATATATATATAGAAAAAATTAGCCAGGCATGGTGGTGCATGTCTGTAGTCCCAGCTACTTGGGAGGCTGAGGCAGGAGGATCGCTTGAACCAAGGAGTTTGAGGTTGCTGTGAGCTAGGCTGACGCCACGGCACTCACTCTAGCCTAGGCAAAAAAGTGAGACTCTCCCAAAAAAAAAAAATGTATTTTAGTTTTTGAATAGGATAAATTTGTGAGATTCAAAACAATCAGCTTTTTCCTTTGCTGTTATCTGCCCCATTCTTCACCCCTCCTTTCAGTGGGTAACCAGTTGTTACTAATGTTTCTTTCTAGTTTGTTTATGTAAATCTAAATATATATATTGTCATCTCCTACCCCTCCCTTTTATTTTATCATAAAAGTAGCATAGTGTGGCCGGTCCCGGTGGCTGACGCCTGTGATCCTAGCACCCTGGGAGGCCAAGGTGGGCGGATTGCTTGAGGTCAGGAGTTTGAAACCAGCCTGAGCAAGAGCGAGACCCTGTTTCTACTATAAATAGAAATAAATTAATTGGTAACTAATATATATAGAAAAAATTAGCCGGGCATGGTGGCACATGCCTGTAGCCCCAGCTATTCTGGAGGCTGAGGCAGCAGGATTGCTTGAACCCAGGAGTTGGAGGTTGCTGTGAGCTAGGCTGATGCCACGGCACTCACTCTAGCCTGGGCAACAAAGCAAGACTCTGTCTCAGAAACAACAAAACAAAAAAGTAGCATAGTGTATGTATATTTTGCAGCTTGCCTTTTCCATTTCTTAGAGATTTTTTTTTTCATATTTTCTGTAGGATGATTTTTCCCAAGTTGGAATTGTTAGATTTGATTTTATATTTTGAATACTGAATATCCAGGTGCCCAAAGACCTTTGTGAGTTTTCTGTATTAAATAGCTAGTACTTTATCTATTGTGGCCAGTCTGGATTTCTAAATTCTACTTATACAAATTCTCTTCTAACCTCCCTGTCCCCAGGGACTGCTGGTTCCTCACTCATTATAGTGTTCCTTATGCACACTAGTTGAGTCCATGCCATTTATTTGACAAAAAGTAAGTATATTGGCCGGGCGTGGTGGCTCAAGCCTGTAATCCTAGCACTCTGGGAGGCTGAGGCAGGTTGATCGATCCAAGTCAGGAGTTTGAAACCAGCCTGAGCAAATGTGAGACCCCCGTCTCTACTAAAAATAGAAAAAATTAACTGGCCAACTAAATATATATAGAAAAAATTAGCTGGGCATGGTGGCGCATGCCTGTAGTCCCAGCTACTAGGGAGGCTGAGACAGGAGGATCACTTGAGCCCAGGAGTTTGAGGTTGCTGTGATCTAGGCTGATGCCACGGCACTCTAGCCTGGGCAACAGAGTGAGACTATGTCTCAGGAAAAAAAAATTAAAAAAGAATGGTTTAGGAGATAATTATCTGTCTCACTTAGTAATGGATTGAATAATGGGGAGTAAGGGTGAATGAATTCTTGAGGTTTTTAACTCCCAGATTTCTACATCTCAGGATGGCTCCCATGTTTTTGTTGCCATTTACTGAAAGAACCCTGGAACATTTATAACTGAGAAGTGCCACCTGCTTGTTCACATTATTATAGTTGAGGCCATGGGAATGGTATGGACGATATGATGTTGGGACAAAATATGCCGTGAGACAAGAGGCTGCTTTGAGGAAGCCAGCATTTGAGGTCTATGTGAAGTAGACTGAGCTTGCAAAAGAGATGAATCAGACATGTAAGAGGAAAACTGGGAGAATATGGTTTCTAGTAACTAAAACACAGTAGTATCCACATGTGGTACATTCCAAGACCCAGAGGGAATGTCTGAAATTTGTGGATAGCACTGAATCCTATATGTATATATTATGTTTTTTCCCATATGTAAATAACCTATGATAAAGTTTATTTTATTTTTCTGCTCAACATGATCTGCAGGAGCATAAAGTTTGATTTATAAATTAGGCATAGTAAGAGATTAATAATAACAAATTATTATAAAAAAGAATAATTACAGTAATAAACTTTAATAAAAGTTACATGAATGTGGTCTCTCTCTCTCCCTCTCTCTCAATAATAGCTCATTATTCTTTCCTGCATGGAACGCGAAACTGTGAATAAGGGGAGAGACTAATCTATTTTAAGAAGGAAGGTGTGGGCCGGGCGAGGTGGCTCATGCCTGTAATCCTAGCACTCTGGGAGGCCAAGGTGGGAGGATTGCTCGAGGTCAGAAGTTCGAAACCAGCCTGAGCAAGAGCGAGACCCTGTCTCTACTATGAATAGAAAGAAATTAATTGGCCAACTAATATATATAGAAAAAATTAGCTGGGCATGGTGGTGCATGCCTGTAGTCCCAGCTACTTGGGAGGCTGAGGCAGGAGGATCGCTTGAGCCCAGGAGTTTGAGGTTCTGTGAGCTAGGCTGATGCCATGGCACCCACTCTAGCCTGGGCAACAAAGCGAGACTCTGTTTCAAAAAAAAAAAAGAAGGCAGGTGTGGTCAGTTGGGTTGAATGTTGGCTAGTGATCACATAAAATGTCCATTAGAGATAAGGAGGTGTGTAGATCACTGCTAACCTTTTATTGTTGGTTTGATTGCGGCAGAAGTTGGACTGGACTGATTGGAGGAAATGGAGACAGAGGCAGAGAAAGGAAGATGCTGTAGCTGGAGAGGTATATGGGGTCCAAAAAAGTTTTTAAAAAGGAAAAGTATTATATAGGTAGTAATGATGAGAAGAGTTCTGGAGATAGGCTGAGGTGGAAGACAGAAGTAATATAGGATCAGAGATGGGATCATCCCAAAGGGGAGAAAGAGATGGTTAGATGTGATTGAGATCTCATAGTAAGGCTTTGGCCTGAATGGGAGGAAGAGAACCATTCTAGTGTTAACATTAGGGGTTGGTGAGTGTGCTGATGATTGTAGGTTTGATGTGGGGTACATCCATAATCATCCTTGTTTCTCTGAGTGAAGAATGTGGTCACATCAGAGAGCAAATGCTATTGCTGGCAGTAATATACCTTTTTTTGTTTTTTAGTTTAAGGGAGCTTTCCCAAAGGGTAAATTTAAACATCTCCCTGCTATAGAAATGATAAAACAAGTTAAAATGGGTCTATTTAACCTTTCATATTACTTAATTTTTAAATTTTTTCCTTGTGTTTCTCATTTTGGCTTTTTTTCCCCAGGTGGTTATGGCAAGCTATAGTCAACTAAATTCTGGAAAGCTTAATTTATACTCTTAGTAGTTACTCTCCATTTTTATTTTATTTGATTTTTTTCTATGTATCTCCTTCATAGGAGATAACTGGCAGAGCCACCAATCTAACATTGCAGCTGCCAAGTAGCTCATAAGAAATGTTTACTGTCAGAAATAATTTTGCTCCTACCACACTGAAACTGACTATTAATGTTTGACTTTGTAGCAGTGTAATCTCTTTGAATTATTTATTTTAAAAGTTTCAAACCTATAGAAAAGTTGAATAGTAAAATGAACACCCATGTATACTTACATAAAAAAATGATTGTTTGGTGCCAATTATTAATATCACTCTAAAAATTAAAAATTGTGTAATGTTCATATTGTGATCATTCATGTTTATTGGTTTCTCAGTCATTTTTTTCAAAGTGTTAGAAAACACAAAGTTTCATAAAACCATTTTGTTCTTTTTTTTTTTTAAAAGTCATTTTTATCAGATATAGTACATACAAAATTAAATAGTCAAGTGGTTAATTCTACAAGTCTTGTTAAGAAAACAGTCTGGGCCAGGTATGGTGGCTCATGCTTATAATCTTAGCATTTTGGGAGGATCATTTGAGGTCAGAAGTTCAAGACCAGCCTGAGCAATATAGCCAGACTATCTCTGCAAAAAGTAGAAAAATTAGTCTGGCATGGTGGCGTGTGCCTGTAATCCCAGACTTCAGAGGCTGAGGTAGGAGGATGACTTGAGCCCAGGACTTGAAAGTTGCAGTGAGCTATGATGTCGTCACTGTATTCAAGATTGGATAACAGAACAAGACCTTATACCAAAAAAAAAAAGAAAAGAAAAACAGTTTGCTATTGTAATACATCTTCTCCACAGCACAAAGCACCTTCACCTCTTTTAGCTGGGTTCTGGTACTTCTGAATCTCAAAATGCCATTCTTTTGTTTTATTTATTATTATTATTATTTTTTGAGACAGAGTCTCACTCTGTTGCCAGAGTTAGATTGCTGTGCCGTTAGCCTAGCTCACAGCAACCTCAAATCTTGGGCTCAAGCTATCCTCCTGCCTCAGCCTCCCGGGTGGCTGGGACTACAGGCATAGGCCACCATGCCCAGCTAATTTTTTCTCTCTATTTTTTAGTTGGCCAATTCATTTCTTTCTATTTTTTATAGTAGAGACAGGGTCTCGCTCTTGCTCAGGCTGGTTTCGAACCCCTGATCTTGAGCGATCCACCTGCCTCAGCCTCCCAGAGTGCTAGTATTACAGGCATGAGACACCACACCTGGCCCTTTTGTATTATTTTTTATCGCTATGTTGTACACCATTTCCCACTCCACCTCTATCACCCTTTATCTTTTTCATTACACTTATAATTTTGGTTTGGAATTCACTGTATACATTATTATGTTAATAGCTGGGGCTGTGTCCCAGTAAAACTAAGCCAGGCACAGCTATTATGTATACTGAATGTGTATTGCTTTAATACCGTTATAAAGTTGGAAAATTGTAACTTGAACCATTGTAAGTCAAAGACCATCTGTAAATTCAATCATATATGTGGTCATTTGTAACTGATCTTTTTCACTTAGCATAGTGTTTTCAAGGTCTATTTATGTATGTGAGTATTTTGTTTACATGGTGGTATTATTCACCATATTAGTACTTACTCCATTGTATGATTAACATTTATGCACTCATCAGTTGATGGACATTTGGACTGTTTCCACCTTTCCACTATTGTGGATAATGCTGCTAATGAGCATTCGGGTATAAGATTTTGTATGGATGTATATTTTCATTTCTCGTGGGTATATACCTAGCCAGTGGAGTTACTGGCTCAAATGTTAACTGTGTAATTTGTGAAGTACTGCCTGACTGTTTTGCAAAGCTGTGGCACCATTTTACATTCCCACCAGGAGTATGTGAGCATTGTGGTTTTTCTACATACATCCTTGTTATTGGACTCTGTAAAAAAAAGAAAGAGAGAGAGAGAGAGAGAGAGAGAGAGAGAATATATGTAACATCATAAATTTATTGCTCTAACCATTTCAGGTAGTGGCATTAAGTATTTATATGTTCACGTTGTGCAACCATCACCACTGTCCATCTCCAGAACTTTTTCATCATCCCAAATAGAAACTCTGAACCCACTTAATAGCAATCTCCAGCCCTTGGTAACTACTAATCTCCTTTTTTCCTGTATGAATTTGGCTATTCTAGGTACCTAATACAAGTGGAATCATACAATACTTTCCTTTTGGGTCTTGCTTATTTTACTTAGCATAATGTCTTCTAGGTTCACCTATGCTATAATATGTTTCAGAATTTGTTTTTTTAAGCTAAAATTCCAGTGTGGATCACATTTTATCCATTCATTGTTCAGTGGACATTTGGATTGTTTGTCTGTTGTGAATGTTTCTTTAAATATTGCATAAATATCTATTTTATCTGATGTTTGGATTATGTATCAAGACCTTTTGAATTTTTTTTTTTTTTAAAGAGACAGGGCTTTGCTCTCTTGCCCAGGCTTAGAATGCAGTGGTACGATCATATGGCTCAATGTAACCTTGAAATCCTAGGCTCAAGGGACCCTGCTGCCTCAGCCTGGCAAATAAGTCGGACTACAGGCACATACCACAATGCCCAGCTAATTTGTAAAAAAAATTTTTTTATAGAAATGGGGTCTTACTACCTTGCCCAGGCTAGTCTTGAAGTCCTGGCCTCAAGTGATCCTCCTGCCTTGGCCTCCCAAAACATTGGTATAGGAATGAGCCACCGTGCCTGCCCTGAATTTTATTTTTCAAAATATCTTTCACATTTTGTTCTTCCCATTTTTACTGTCTTAGTTCAGGTTCTAATCATTTCATGTCCATACTGCTTTGGTGATCTCTGGTCTAGTGAGTATCCTGTTTCTTCTACTTGTGTTATTTAGAGTCTAGGTCAAGGAAGTTTATATTTCTAACATGCAAAACGGAGCCTTATTTGCCTGGTTTAAATGAGGCTCCTCATGGCCTGCAGGATAATGGCTAAGCTTTTAATGTGCCATGTAAACTTTTTCAGGTCTGTGTCTAACCTTGCTTAGTTTACTTTCCTTCCACATTGTGATTTAGTGTTCTGAACTACTTGTAGTTTAATTGTTTTGTTCATTCATGCCTTTGAGGGTTCTAGACCCTTATACTTGAATTCTCTACCCAGCAAACTGTTTATCTATAGAAATTGTTCAAGGGTCCCATTTGTCCTATGTTTAATGGTTTCTACTTTTTGATGTTATTTTATTTTTTATTTTTTTGAGACAATCTCACTCTGTTGCCCTGGCTAGAGTGAGTGCCGTGGCGTCAGCCTAGCTCACAGCAACCTCAGACTCCTGGGCTCAAGCGATCTTCCTGTCTCAGCTTCCCAAGTAGCTGGGAGTACAGGCATGCGCCACCATGCCCGGCTAATTTTTTCTATATATATTAGTTGGCCAATTAATTTCTTTCTATTTATAGTAGATCAGGGTCTCGCTCTTGCTCAGGTTAGTTTCGAACTCCTGAACTCAAACGATCCGCCCGCTTTGGCCTCCCAGAGAGCTAGGATTGCAGGCATGAGCCACCACGCCCCGCCATCTTAACTACTTTTAATCCCCCTTTTAGGTGATTTCTACTGAAGCTTTTATTATTACTTTTTTTTTTTAATTTTTTTTTTTTTTTGGTAAAGAATGTATGTGATTTATTATCATTATTATTTTTTATTTCGGCATATTATAGGGGTACAGATTTTAAGGTTTCAATAAATGCCCTTTCCCCCTCTCCCCCCACAAGTCTGAGTTTCCAGCATGACCATCCCCCAGATGGTGCACATCTCACTCATTATGTATGTATATACCCGTCCCACTCCCCCCTGCCCAATACCCTATTACTGTAGTACCTATGTGTCCACTTAGGTGCTGCTCAGTTAATACCAGTTTGCTGGTGAGTATATGTGGTGCTTGTTTTTCCATTCTTGGGATACTTCACTTAGTAGTATGGGTTCCAGCTCTAACCAGGAAAATACAAGATGTGCTATATCACCTTTGTTTCTTAGAGCTGAATAGTACTCCATGGTATACATATACCACATTTTATTAATCCATTCTTGGATTGATGGGCACTTGGGCTGTTTCCACAGCCTTCCAATTATGAATTGTGCTGCTATAAACATTCAAGTGCAGGTATCTTTTTTGTAGAGTGTCATTGGATCTTTTGGGTAGATGCCCAGTAATGGGATTGCTTTTTTTTTAATTTTTGAGACAGAGTCTTGCTCTGTTACCTGTGCTAGATTACCATGGTGTCAGCCCAGCTCACAGCAACCTCAAACTCTTGGGCTCAAGTGATCCTTCTGCCTCAGCCTCCCGAGTAGCTGGAATTACAGACATGCACCACCATGCCTGGCTAATTTTTTCTATATAGATTTTTAGTTGTCCGGCTAATTTCTTTCTATTTTTTTAGTGGAGATGGTCTCGCTCTTGCTCAGGCTGATCTCGAACTCCTGATCTGGAGCAATCCTCCTGCCTCACCTCCCAGAGTGCTAGGATTATAGGCGTGAGCCACCACGCCCGGTCCCTATTTAAGATTTTAATTCAATAAATGGGAAATAAAGAGTTTGGTTTTTTCTTAGTTTTTTTTTTTTTTTCATTGAACAAAAACTTTCTTTATACAAAATATTGATACGTAAATACAATATGGTTTCAAAAACAAAATATGTATATAGTTGTATTCATAAGTACAGCAGTCCCACCTTATCCACAGTTTCATTTTCTATAGTTTCAGTTACTGATGGTCAGTCACAGTCCCCGAATAGGTGGGTACAGTATAATACCATATTTTGACAGAAATCAGTCACGTTCACATAACTTTTATTATAGTATACTGTTATAATTGTTCTATTTTATTATTGTTGTTAATCTCTTACTGTGCTTAATTTATAAATTAAATTTTACCTTAGGTACATACATATAGAAAAAACACAGCATATGTAGGGTTTGGTACTATCTGAGGTTTCAGGTATCCACTGGGGGTCTTGGAACATATCCCCTGAGGGTAAGTGGGGAGTATTACTGTATTTTTAACCAAAAGTTATACAATAATGAGAAACATTAATGGGGCAAATACAAATGAAGACGATCCTCTGAATTCACAGGTTTCATCTGGCATCAAAAATCACCAATCTTTTAGTCCTTTTCTTGTACATTATTCTGTATCCACATTCTCTGCATCTGATTGGATCCCTGGATTTTATTTCATTTTCTGTGTGACATTCTCCACAGATATATATCATTGGCTGCTGCTTTGGTGGCTGAACGTCCTTCTGGGTGTCCATTGTTAGTCCCTACGCAGCACAGAGCAGTTTTTTTTTTAAAATAGACCCAAAACAAAAGTTAACCAGGTTTTAATTTCATTATGAAGCCTTGTTTTTATAGGTAAACAACCATTTGTAAACTTTTGAAACTACCATTTATAAGACAAACTGCCTTTGAAATGTACTTTGGGGTTGGGGTCTATTCTTCCAGTTACTGCATAGCTAGAAGTTTTAAAAATCATCTCAGTTTTATACTTGTTCTACAGTTCAGTTTATAAATCTGTCCTCCCCTTTCATTTTCTTTTTGCGTTCTGAAGGAAATAGACTTTTCCTGATTTTTCAAAGAGATGTTTGGATTCTTTTTTGTGTTTTGAAACAGGATGTGGTTATTGTAATGGAATTATATGTGAGTTAAAATGAATTTTCATATAAAATGCTTTTCATTTCATTTTTAAAATGATACATTGTGAAGCCTATTTAGCTCACTCACTTGTCTGCCTGCTTGCCTGCCTTCCTTCCTTTCTTTTCTCCCTCCCTGCCTCTCTCCCTCCTTCCATTTCTTTTCCTTTCCTCTTTCTTGTCTTCTTTTCTTTTTCTTTCCTTCCTTCCCTTCCTTCCCTTCCTTTCCTTCCTAGTGGATATCCTAATTATCAGTTAGGTAGATAGTTAGGATCTCTGAGTCTGACTCTGTTTCTTTTTTTTTTTTTGGAGACAGACTCTCACTATGTTGCCTGGGCTAGACTGCCATGGCATAAGCCTAGGTCACAGCAACCTCAAACTCCTGGACTCAAGTGATCCTTCTGCCTCAGCCTCCCCATCCTCCTGAGTAGCTGGGACTATAAGGCATGTGCCACCATGCCCAGCTACTTTTTTCTATATATTTTTATTTGGCCAATTAATTTCTTTCTATTTTTAATAGAGATTTGGTCTTGCTCTTTCTCAGGCTGGTTTCAAACTCCTGACCTTGAGCGATCCTCCCATCTCAGTCTGCCAGAGTGCTAGGATTATAGGCGTGAGCTACCACACTCAGCCACTCTGTTTCTATTGTAACCTTTTTTAAATGCTGTTAAAGATGCTAAATGCTGTGTATGGAAGAGGTATATATAAAAATTGTAATGTTTTCTAGACTCTATTTGTATTTATTAATTTATTTATCTTTTGAGTAATCTTATCTTACTCTGTCACACCCCTGGGTAGAGTGCAGTGGCGTCATCATTGCTCACTGCAACATCAAATTCCTAGGTTCAACCAATTCTCCTGCCTCAGCCTCCTGGGTAGCTGGGACTACAGGTGCGTGTCACTATGCCTGGCTAATTTTTTCTATTTTTTGAAGTGATGGGGTCTTCGTTTTGCTCAAGCTGTTCTCCAATTCCTTGCCTCAAGCAGTCCTCCCACCTTTGCCTCCCAGAGTGCTAGGATTATAGGCATGAGTCACCTCGCCCAGCCCAGAACCAATTTTTGATTCTGAATTTGCTCTTTGAAGTCATTAAATTTTATAGTATCTATCCTGTCAGAACCATCCCCTTTGTTGTTTAGCATTGGTTGTTTTGAGAAATCCATGCGAAGCCCCCAGTGGAAAGTGGACTGCAGCCCCGAACTCCTGGGTTCTAGTGATCCTCGTGTCTCAATCTCTTGAGTAGCTGGGACTACAGGCATGCCATCTTAATTTGCTCTGTGATTAGCCAATCAGCCTCTAACTGGTTTTGAATATATCTCACTTCTAAACTAATCCATTACTTTTTTTTTTCATAAGTGCTTAATAATTTTTTGTCACATCGGTTGAATACTTAAAATTCTTTGGTATGTGACCTACTTCAGATTATCTAGTTCCGTAGGTATTTTACCATATTGTTTACTTCTTTGACAGTAATTGTGTAGCTGTTCTCTTGATGTTTAGCAGTCATGTTTTTGAAGTAATGACATTGGTTCTCGTCCTTACCTAGTTTCCAACCGGAGACCCTATCGGCAGTACTACGTGGAGGCTTTTGGAGACCCTTCTGAGAAAGCCTGGGTGGCTGGAAAAGCAATCGTCATGTTTGAAGGCAGACATCAATTTGAAGAGCTACCTGTCCTTAGGAGAAGAGGAAAACAGAAAGAAAAAGGATATAGGCATAAGGTGGGGAATAAAATAAAAGGCCTTTAAAAAATTATCTACTTGGGGGTTGGCAGAGGGGAGACGAAGAAGAATTATAGTTTTGAAATAGATTATTTCTTTCGGTATTAGGGTATCTTTGAGAATATAGCTAGGAAGCAGGGTTTTATTTGTTTTCGTTTTTTTGCAGTGATCTGGGGCTAGCTTTAGAAATACTTATATTCAGTTTGTTTAGAAATGATTTCAGCTACCTCTGTCGTTACACTGAGAGAAGTTACAGTATGACTTAGCATGAGCAGTCTTCTTTTGTTATTTCTTATATGAGAAGAAAGTGATCACTAAAATGAAATATTCTGCTTCTCACCCTCTGTACTCATTATATCTCTTAAAAATGATAAAGATAAGGCTTTTTTTTTTTTTTGAGACAGTCTTACTCTGTTGCCCAGGCTAGAGTGACGTGGTGTCAGCCTAGCTCACCGCAACCTCAAACTCCTGGGCTCAAGAGATCCTGCTGCCTTAGCCTCCCAAGTAGCTGGGACTACAGGCATGTGCCACCATGCCCGGCTAATTGCAATCCACCCGCCTTGGCCTCCCAGAGTGTTAGGATTACAGGCGTGAGCCACCGCGCCTGGCCAAGATAAGGCTTTTAACAGTTTTCTTTCTTATGTTTGCCAGTGTTTAAGTTTGCAGTTTCAGAACTGGTTATATTTTAATGATGAACGTTGTGGCTTTGTTTCTTTAGCTTGATGTTTTGAGTTAAAATGGGCCAAGAAAATTTTGGCTAATTCTTTTTTTTTTTTTTAATACTCTTTGCCTCCATTTTAAAAATTGTGTTCCAATGCATATAACATAAAATTTATCACTTGTAACCATTTTTAGGTATACAGTTAAATGATGTTAAATACATTCATAATGTATAGCCATCACTCTTGGTGATTATTTTCATCTTGTAAAACTGAAACTCTTACCCATGAAGCAGTAACTCCCCATTTTCCCTTCCTGCCCCACAATTGTTTGTACATCCGTTCTGCTGTCTCTATGGTTTAATATTCTTTCATAGTCAATTCTAGAAGGGGAAATAGTTTTTCTTAGATTGATGTTTTATATTCCCCTGTTTTTAAATAGTTTTGAACTATTTGAAAAAATCATAATTAGAATAATTTAGTTAGTATGCAGGGTCTGCTACTTATAACTTGATTCCTCTGTGGCTTGGTGTCTTTTATCTCCGAAACTAGTGTAATAACATCTATCTTGTAGAACTGTTGTGAGGATTAGAAATAAGTATAAAATACTTAATATTTTATGAGGTTGATGCTTTCAAAATAGTATTTTTTTTTTTTTTTTGAGACAGAGTTTCACTTTGTTGCCCAGACTAGAGTGAGTGCCATGGCGTCAGCCTAGCTCACAGCAACCTCAATCTCCTGGGCTTAAGCGATCCTCCTGCCTCAGCATCCCGAGTAGCTGGGATACAGGCATGCGCCACTATGCCCGGCAAATTTTTTGTATATATATTTTTAGTAGAGACGGGGTCTCGATCAGGCTGGTTTCGAACTCCTGACCTTGAGCAATCCACCCTCTTTGGTCTCCCAGAGTGCTAGGATTACAGGCGTGAGCTAACCACGCCTGGCCCAAAAATAGTATGTTTTACTGTTAAGATGAAGGGGTTTAACTTCACATTTTGGATGATTAGGGAGGTAGAAATCATCCAAGGTGGGGAGGTATAAATTTTGTTAAGCCTTTTAGCTATATAGATTGATCAGCATTCTTTTCAGAGGAGTTCACTAATGCTTTCAGGAAATGCAATCTGGAAAATTCTTTTACTCTGTTGCAGTTAAGAGAATTTGTGGGTGTGTGTTTGTATGTAATAGATGATCAGTTTATTCCCTCATAAGAGGAGGTTGCCTATCTAGTGACCTCAATTTTTGCATACTTTGCAGAACATCCCCTTCACAAGTATAAAAAGTGTTTGTGAACACTAACTGGTAGGTAGAACCTCCTAATGTCTATCATATGGAGGCAAGGAAAGAAATGAGAGTCTGGAAAAGTTAGCTGTTTTTCATAGAGCCTCAATGTTCTCATGCTGTGAAGAATCAAGAAAAGAAAATATGTATGTCGTTATTCCCAGGGTATCTTTGTATCACTTGTATCCCTGGGCTACAAGATTAAGCCGGAAGACATCTTATTTATAATCCAGTTTGTATGTAATGTGTATATGACAGACTTGATTAGCCATGTAGCTAATGAAAACTAGAATTTCAAATTTCAGTGCCCCTAGGAGGTACATCTGACCTGCTTGTTCTTCTTGACCTATTTTTTGCATATTTATCTTCTTTAACCTTTTGCTTTCTTTTTTAGGCAAGTGAACCTATGCTTGCCCTTCATAAGTCAGGAAGAAAATAAATCCTTATTCTAAGGTATAGTGGAGTAAGTAGGGAGTGTTTGGGTCTTCCTTGATTTAGAAATGTAATGTTATCAGTTTTAGTCTAAGTTATGGTTCACTCCTTTGTTATGAATGTAGGGGGAGTGGAGTGTTTCTGAGAATAATCCTTCCTCTAATGATAGATCTTATTGGATGCAGTAGTGTTGGGGAATTTCTGTTAGGTTAAGCTGCAGGTGAGTTCAGGTGCTACCTACCTGGCCAGTCCCATAAAAGAGCCCTTAACTATTTTTAAGTGTACAGTTAAAATGGTATTAAATACATTCATAATGTGAAGAAGTCCAGTAGGTTTGGAAAAGTTTCTAATTTGAGAAGTGTTTATTGATCATCTCCCTATTCTCCTTCCCATTTTCTCTGATAAGTGATATTCTTTTTCTCCTTTAAATTTAAGGTTCCTCAGAAAATTTTGAGTAAATGGGAAGCCAGTGTTGGTCTTGCTGAACAGTATGATGTTCCCAAAGGGTCAAAAAACCGAAAATGTGTTACCAGTTCAATCAAGTTGGACAGCGAGGAAGATATGCCATTCGAGGACTGTACAAATGATCCTGAATCAGAACATGACATATTGCTTAATGGCTGCTTGAAATCTCTGGCTTTTGATTCTGAACATTCTGCAGATGAGAAGGAAAAGCCTTGTGCTAAGTCTCGAGCCAGAAAGAGCTCTGATAATCCAAAAAGGACTAGTGTGAAAAAGGGCCTCGTGCAATTTGAAGCACATAAGGAAGAACGGGGGGGAAAGATTTCAGAGAACCTTGGCTTAAACTTTATTTCTGGGGATGTATCTGATAAGCAGGCCTCTAATGAACTTTCCAGGATAGCAAGCAGCCTCACAGGGTCCAGCACTGCTCCAGGAGGTTTTCTCTTTTCTTCTTGTGGAAAAAACACCGCAAAGAAAGAATTTGAGACTTCAAATTGTGATTCTTTACTGGGCTTGCCTGAGGGTGCCTTGATCTCGAAACATTCTGGGGAGAAGAAGAAACCCCAACGAGGCCTGGTATGCAGTTCCAAAGTGCAGCTCTGCTATATTGGAGCAGGTGATGAGGAAAAGCGAAGTGATTCCATTAGTATCTGTACCACTTCTGATGATGGAAGCAGTGATTTGGATCCCATAGAACACAGCTCAGAGTCTGATAATAGTGTCCTTGAAATTACAGATGCCTTTGATAGGAAAGAAAACATGTTATCTATGCAGAAAAATGAAAAGATAAAGTATTCTAGGTATCCTGCCACAAACTCTAGGGTAAAAACAAAACAGAAGTCTCTCATTGCTAATTCACATACAGACCACTTAGTGGATTGTACTAAGACAGCAGAGCCCAGAACTGAGACATCTGCAATTAATCTCTCTGATCTTACAGTGTCCACTCTTATCCATAAATCGCAGTCAGATTTCAGAAATGATGGTCTTCCTCCAAAATTCAACATGTCATCAAGCATTTCCAGTGAGAACTCCCTAATGAAAGGTGGAACAACAAATCAAGCTCTACTACATTTGAAAAGCAAACAGCCCAAGTTTCGAAATATGAAGTACAAACATAAAGAAAACCCAGTTATAGTAGAACCCCCAGTTACAAATGAGGACTGCAGTTTGAAATACTGCTCTTCTGATGCGAAAAGCTCTCCTTTGGCCAGCATGTCTAAGAGTGGAAAAGTAGATGGCTTAAAACTACTGAACAACATGCATGAGAAAACCAGGGATTCAAGTGACATAGAAACAGCGGTGGTGAAACATGTTTTGTCAGAGTTAAAGGAACTCTCTTACAGATCCTTAGGTGAGGATGTAAGTGACTCTGGAACATCAAAGCCAACAAAACCATTACTTTTCTCTTCTGCTTCTAGTCAGAATCATTTACCTATAGAACCAGACTACAAATTCAGTACCTTGCTAATGATGTTGAAAGATATGCATGATAGTAAGACCAAGGAACAGCGGTTGATGACGGCTCCCAACTTGGTCTCTTATCGGAGTCCTAGTCGTGGGGACTGTTCTACCAGTAGTCCTGTAGGGGCTTCTAAGGTTTTGGTTTCAGGAGGCTCCACTCACAAGTCAGAAAAAAATGGAGATGGCACTCAGGACTCAGCCAATCCTAGTCCTAGTAGGGGTGATGGTGCACTGTCTGGGGAATTGTCTGCATCCCTACCTGGCTTCGTGTCTGACAGAAGAGATCTTCCTGTTTCTGGCAAAAGTCGTTCAAACTGTGTTACTAGGCGCAACTGTGGACGATCAAAGCCATCATCCAAATTGCGAGATGCTTTTTCAGCTCAAATGGGAAAGAATACAGTGAACCGAAAAGCCTTAAAGACAGAGCGCAGAAGAAAACTGAGCCGGCTTCCAGCTGTGTCTCTGGAGCCTGCACTGCAAGGAGACAGAGAAAGTGGAGATTCACTGAGAGGTGGTATAGAAGGCGCTGGCAAAGAGGAGCCCCTTCAGTTAGTGGGCCACTTAACAAGTGAAGGTGCTGCTGATCTTTCTGACGTTCATTTCCATAACAAGGTTAAACAGCCTGACCCTGACACAATTCCCAAAAAAGGCCCTGGTTTGGAAAACAGAAAAGGCCAAGAGCTGGACTCTGAACTGAACAGTGAGAATGATGAACACAGTGGTGTAAATCAAGCGGTGCCTAAAAAGCGGTGGCAGCGTTTAAACCAAAGGCGTGCTAAACCTCGTAAGCGCACTAACAGATTTAGGGAGAAAGAAAACTCTGAGGGTGCCTTTGGGATCTTGCTTCCTAGTGACCCTGTACAGGAGAGGCGGGATGAATTTCTAGAGCATAGAACTCCTCCTTCAACAAATATACCAGAGGATGCACAAACAGATCCGAATCGTGCTGGCCACTTAGATTCAGTTGGGTCACAGTTGAATATTTGTGATAAATCCAGTACCAGCCTTGGGGACATGGAAAAGGAGCCAGGAATTCCCAGTTTAACACCACAGGCTGAGCTCCCTGAACCAGGTAAGGACTTCTGTGATAGAAAGTGCTAATAATATTGTCATTTTGAAATTGGTATTTTACTGGAACAGTGAAGTGTAAACTGGGAGGGAAGGATTATCACTTGAATGATGTAGAATTATGTACAAGGATCTCCGTTTTGAAAACCAGATTTCCATTTATTTTTAGAAATAAAGTTTTACGAGAAGCTCTGCCCCCTCCCCCCTTTGAGTAAGTCTCAGTAACATTTTTGCTCCTGCTCCCCATTTCCTATCTGTAAAAAAAAAAAAATCTCCAACCTTTTTGGGATTTAATCTGTTATTACAAGTAATTGAGAAGCTTTCATCCTAAAGTTTAAATCCAGTTGTTAGTTTATAGCAAGCAAGTAGACTTTGTTGGATGTTAGGCTTCTTTTAACTAACAACAACAACAAAATTATAATATGGTAGTTTTTAATACATTTAGAGTTGTACAAACATTTGCATCATCCCCCAAAGAAACTCTGAACTGTTTATCAATCTTCCTTCAATTTCCCCCAGTCTGTAGATTTATCTGTGTACATTTCATAGAAGTCGAATCATACAGTATGGCTTTATCACTTAGCGTAATGTTTTCCAAGGTTCATCATGTTGTATCATGTATCAGTGCTTCATGTCTTTTTTTTTGAGACAGAGTCTCAGTCTGTTGTCCGGGCTAGAGTGCCGTGGCGTCAGCCTAGCTCACAGCAACCTCCAACTCCTGGGCTCAAGCAATCCTTCTGCCTCAGCCTCCCGAGTAGCTGGAACTACAGGCATGTGTCACCATGCACAGCTAATTTTTTCTATATATTTTTAGTTGGTCAGTTAATTTCTTTCTATTTTTAGTAGAGACAGGATCTTGCTCTTGCTGAGGCTGGTTTCAAACTCCTGACCTTGAGCGATCCTCCAGCCTTGGCCTCCCAGAGTGCTAGGATTATATGTGTGAGCCACTGCGCCCAGCCCTTTCTAAAAAGTTATGGATAAAAAGCACATAACATAAATTTACTCTCTTAATGGTTTTTAAATGTACATTATGGCCGGGTGTGGTGGCTCACGCCTGTAATCCTAGCACTCTGGGAGGCCGAGGCAGGAGGATTGCTCGAGGTCAGGAGTTCGAAACCAGCCTGAGCAAGAGCAAGACCCCGTCTCTACTAAAAATAGAAAGAAATTAATTGACCAACTAAAAATATATATACAAAAAATTAGCCGGGCATGGTGACATATGCCTGTAGTCCAGCTACTCGGGAGGCTGAGGCAGTAGGATCTCTTGAGCCCAGGAGATTGAGGTTGCTGTGAGCTAGGCTGACGCCACGGCACTCACTCTAGCCTGGGCAACAAAGTGAGACTCTGTCTCAAAAAAAAAAAATGTACATTATGAACTATACACACATTGTTAAAAAACAGGTGTCTAGAACGGAAACTGAATACCCATTGAACAGTAACTCTTTATTTTTCCCTCCGCACAGTGCCTGGCAACTACCATTATACTTTCTGTTTCTAAGAGTTTAATTACTTTAGATGCCTCCTATAAGTGGAACCCTGCAGTATTTATCTTTCTGTGAATGGCTTGTTTCACTTAGTGTAATATCCTCAAGGTTCATTCATATTGTAGCATATGGCAGGATTACCTTCTTTTTAAAGGCTCAATAATATATTCCAGTGTATATATACCACCTTTATCTATTCATCAGCTGGTGGACATTTAACTTGTATCCACAATTTGGCTCTTGTAATGCTACGTTGAACATGGGTATGTAAATATCTCTTTGAGATCTGGTTTTCAGTTCTTTTGGATATATATCCAGAAATGAGATTGCTGGATCATATGGAATTCTACTTTTAATTGTTTGGGAAACCTGTGTACTGTTTTCCATAGTCACTGCACCACTTAACAATCACACCACAGGGGACAGAGGTTTCGATTTCTCCACATCCTCACCAGTGCTTGTTATTTTCTGTTTATTTGATAGTGACCATACAAATGGGTGTGTGTTGATACCTCTTTGTGGCTTTGATTTATGTTACCCTGATGATTAGTGATACTTTGCACATCATTTAAAGTGTTTTGGCGATTTGTGTGAGCCACTAAGCCTGGCTTATTTGTCTTCCCTAATTTCAGTCAGCAGTGTTTTATCATTTTTAGTGTACATTTCTTTTACCTCCTTTTTTTTTTCCTGTGGCAGTGTCTCACTCTGTTGCCCAGGTTAGAGTGCTGTCATGTCAGCCTGGCTCACGGCAACCTCAAACTCCTGGGCTCAGGCAATCCTCCTGCCTCAGCCTCCCGAGTAGCTGGGACTACAGGCATGTGCCACCATGCCCGGCTAATTTTTTCTATTTTTAGTAGAGATGGGGTTTCACTTTTGCTCAGGCTGGTCTCGAACTCCTGACTTCAAGCAGTCTTCCCACCTTGGCCTCTTAAAGTGATAGGATTATAGGAATGAGCCATGCACTCAACCTTACCTCTTTTATTATATTTATGTAATTTGTTTTTATTCCTAGTTCATTGAGTGTTTTTTGTTTTTATTATGAAAGGTGGTTTAATTTTGTCAGGATTCCTCTTTTGCATCAAGTTAGGTGATCATGTAATTTGTTTATTTGTCTTTTATTCCTTTAATGTGTCTATTGATTGATTTTCCTATTTTTGAAGCATTCTTGTGTTCTAAGATTAAATTCTACTTGGTCATGATGTATATTCCTTTTAATGTACTGTTGAGTTTGATTTGCTAGTATTTTGTTGAGGTGTTTTGCGTCAGTTATTCATGAGGGATATTGGTTTATAACTTGCTTTTCTTGTAGTATCTTTGGTTTCATCAGAGTAATACTGGCTTCATAGAATGATTTTGGAACTATGGAGAATGCTTATATAAGATACACAAAATAAAATGAGAAAGGAAGTTTGTGGAAGAAAGTCAGTCTTCAGTTTTTGGAAGAGTTTGAGAAGGAAGAAATGCTTAGTAGCATTCTGCAGCGAAGCCCATGTAGTCCTGGGCTTTTCTTTGTTGGAAGATGTTTGATACTTGTTCAATCTCCTTAATATTTAAAGCACTTTTCAAATTTTCTATTTCTTCATGGTTCAGTTTTAGTAGGTTGTATCTTTCTGGAAATTTATTCATTTCTTCTAGGTTGTTCTACTTGTTGGCATATAATAGTTCATTGTAGTCTATTATCTGATTCCTGTGACATTACTTTTAAAGTATCTTTTATTGCTAATTTTAGTTATTTCAATCTTATTTCTTTTTTTCCTAGTTAATGTAGCTAAGGGCTTGTCATTTTTGTTGTTGTTGTTCTTTAAAGTAAAGCAACTTGGTTTTACTGATTTTTTTTTCTCCCCTAATTTTCTGTGCTTTATTTTGTTTATGCTTTAGTCTTCATTGTTTCTTTCCCTGTGCTAACTTGCTTTTCTATTTCCTTGAGGTATAAAGTTGGTTTGTTAATTTAAGATGTCTCTTTTTGAACATAGTCATTTGCCAATATAAAAGCATCTGTCAGTACTGCTTTTGCTGCATCCCGTAAGTTTTGGTATGTATGTGCTGTTTCCATTTGTCTCAAGATATTTTCTAATTTCCCTTGTGATGTCTTCTTTCAGCTATTGGTTGTTCAATGATATATTGTTTAATTTGTGGATTTTCCAGTTTTTGTATTGCTTATTGATTCCATTCTGATCAGAAAAGATACTTAGTGTGACTTCAGACTTCCTGAATTTATTAAGACTTGTTTTGTAACCTGACAAGAGATCTGTCCTGGAGAATGTTCTGTGTGCTTTTTGAGAAGAATGTATATCCTACTGCTGTTTGGTGGGGTGTTTTGTATATGTCTGTTGGGTGCAGTAAGTCTTAAGTGTTGTTCAAATCCTGTTTCTTTATTGATCTTCTGTGCTTTCGTCCATTATTGTAAAGTGGGGTATTAAAAATCTTTTTGTGTTGCTATTTATCTCTTCAATTCTCTCAGTGTTTGCTTCATATATTTGGGTGCTCTGCTGTTAGGCAAATTACATATTTATAATTTTTATATCTTCCTAGTGAATTGACTGTACTATCATTATATCATGTGCTTCTTTGTCTCTTGTGACAGTTTTGGATTTACAAGTGAAAATTGTCTGATAATAAGTATGGCTACCTGTGCTCTTTTTTGTTTACTGTTTGCATAAAATATCTTTTTTCCATCCTTTCATTTTCAGCCTCAGTGTCTCCTTTAGTCTAAGGCGAACCTTTTGTAGATAGCACACAGTTGCATCATGTTTTTTATCCATTCAGCCACTCTGTCTTTTGAGTGAGGAGCTTAATCCATCTTCAGTTAGAGTAATTAATCATAGGGAGGGAATTATTATTGCCATTTTGTTAATTGTTTTTTCCCTGACTTGTAGCTATTTTTCCCTCTTAGTCTGTCTTGCTGCCTTTCTTTGTATTTTGTTGATTTTTTTGTATTGACATACTTTGTTTCCTTTCTCATTATATTTTTGTGTGTCTTCTATAGGCATTCTCTGTGGGTTTATATAAAACATCTTATAGTTATAGCAGTTTATTTTAAGCTGTTAACAATGTAAATTCAGTTGTATACAAAAATTCTCTTTTACATCTCCTAAGACCCACTTTGTTATTGATTTCACAAATTATATCTTTTTTTTTTTTTTTTTTGAGACAGAGTCTCACTTTGTTGCCCAGGCTAGAGTGAGTGCCGTGGCGTCAGCCTAGCTCACAGCAACCTCAAACTTCTGGGCTCAATCAATCCTGCTGCCTCAGCCTCCCAAGTAGCTGGGACTACAGGCATGCACCACCATGCCCGGCTAATTTTTTCTATATATATATTAGTTGGCCAATTAATTTCTTTCTATTTATAGTAGAGACTGGGTCTCACTCTTGCTCAGGCTGGTTTCGTACTCCTGACCTTGAGCAATCCGCCCGCCTCGGCCTCCCAGAGTGGTAGGATTACAGGTGCAAGCCACCGTGCCCGGCCCACAAATTATATCTTTATATTGTGTATCCATTAATAATAGTTTTGTCCTTTTTT